TGTCCGTTTACAAACCGCAATCCCGCTTTCGAATAAAACCTACAACCCGCTATAATTACTTTAGTAAGCTGTCCAGACCAATCAAAATGTTTTGTGCAATTGTGCAAACGTTAAAACAATTATGTATTGTGACGTCATCAAAAGGCGCAGGACCCCGAGTCAATCTGGTACCTACAGCGGCAACGCTTGTGGGTCGTTTTTTTTAAGCCAATGTCGGTGATTTAAAAGTAATTTTGAGTGATAGATACAAATTTTTTTGCGATCATTGCACTTGCCCGGCGGGCAGATGCAATAACTCATGACAAAAAACTTTTCTCAAATTTTATTTAATTTTTAAATTTTTTGTTTTTCTGTTTTAGGTTTTCAAAATGTATATAAATGTATTCCATATATATATATGATTTAATTATTATTTTGTTGACCCCTGCTGGTCACATGGAACCTTCTAAAATACATGAAGGTTTTTGCTTCTTTGTAAAGTAAAGAATCTAAACTCAAAGTTTGTTTAAACCCATTTTCTCTTTTTGCGTTTGTTCCTCCAGACTCGCCTGGTCAACAGGGAGCTGCCAAACCAGGTCTGACCAGGCCAGAGACGACGGCGAGGAGGGGCAACCGCAACAGAAAGTCCAAGAAGCCGCGAATGAAGCATCCCGACTCGTCGGACAGCGCCGTTTCCAATCGCAAACCCCTGCCCCCACTTCAAGGCCTCAATCAGACATCTTGGTCCCCGTCTGAAGCTTCCCAGTCAGCTTTTAACGTGTCCTACCCCACCATGGTGCCTGCGTATCCGCTGTACCCCCCGACGCCTGCCGCGCCGGCCCAGGGCTCCCGCCCCGACGCATCTCTGCCCTCCGCCTTCAGAGAGGGGCAGAACGCTCAAGCTCCCCCGCCTAGCACTCCGTTCCCGACTCCGATCGTTACGCCTGTGATGGCTCTGGTTCTGCCCAATTACCTGTTCCCCCAGTTAGGACAGTTGAATCAGATGGGCCAGCTGGGCGCGGCGCCGAGGCCGGCGTTTTTCGCCGAACAGACTCAGCCACAGCCGGCGTATTCTACCCAGCAGGCCTTTCAGACGCCTCAGGCGGCGTACCAAATGCAGACGCAGCCTTCCTTCGCCCCCCAGCAGCCGTTCCCGGTGCAGTCCGCCTTTTCTCCGCAGCAGCCTTTCCAAGGAGCCCAGGCCCCCTTCATTACCCAGCAGCCTTTCCCAGCCCTTCAGACCGCCTACGCTACGCAGCAGCCCTTCGCTGCCCAGTCGTCTTTCCCAGTTCAGACTTCTTTTGTGGCTCAAGCCCCTTACGCAGCGCAGCCTTTCCCCTACGCCATAGCCCCAGAGCACCCCAAACCCCCCACAGCTGAGCCCAGAGAGGGGGCCCCTTCACGCTCCTCCACCCCCGCCTCGGGGGCCCGGGAGCCCACCACGTCCCCTCCGCTGTTTGAATCTCGCTGCAGCTCGCCCCTGCAGCTCAACCTGCTGAGCATGGAGGAGGGACAGCGTTCGGTTGAAAGGCAGGACAGCGCAGCGGGCCCGTCCGGAGGTCAGGGCGGCGCTTCAGCGGCGCTACCGGGGGCAGCAGGGGACAAGAGCGCGGGTGCAGCTAAGACTGACAATCACCAACAGGTGAGAGAAGAAAACCCAGAAATCCACCAAAGAAAGTTTAAATAACTCATCCTGAGACTAACGGGTACCTGAACACCTCGGTTTGTCTGAGCAGGAACCCAGAGGAGACGGAGCTCACAGCGATGGAAACTCCTCATCCTGCGATCTGCTGGACATCCTGTTGCAGGAGCAGGAGGACGCTCACTCTGGTACCGGATCAGCCACCTCCGGCTCCATGGGCTCCGGTTTGGGTTCCGGATCTGCATCCGGCTCTGGCTCCAATGACTGTCGGACCTCAGTTAGCGGAGCGTCTGGCAGCCGAACAGGTCAGTTGTTGACTTATAGAGACTATTTAGAGCAACATGCTGAAATGTTAGCTTCATTTAAGATAGAACAGATGATTTTTCAGGTCGATATTCAGCACCCCATGAGGGCTGGAGCAACCTTCTCAAAAACTCATAACTTGACAGGGTCGGATCGCTCAGGTAAAGAGTCATGTGCCCTAGAGCGCCCTCTAGCAGGAGAGCTGGCTGAGCTAAAGGTTATTAGCCAACAAAACACATCCGACCCTTACCTGATCAGACATATCAGAGAGCTTTGTGCAGCAATTCATTTAAAGTGCCGTTTCCAAGTTAAAGGTTATTTGTTTTCAACTTTTCCCCTCCCTCTTGTCCATTTTTCTCCTCTTGTAGGGAGCAGCAACACCAGCAAGTACTTCGGCAGCATCGACTCTCTGGAGCATGACACCAAGAGGAAAGGCAAATTAAGAAGCGAAGGAGGCTCAGAAAGCAGCAAGTCCCAGAAAAAAGCCTCGGTTCAGGGCGAAGGGGAGCATTTCATCAAATACGTCCTGCAGAAGCCGCTATGGCTGCTCATGGCCAACGCCGACGATGAGGTCATGATGACGTATCAGATGCCACCCAGGTGGGTTACTGACACGTCTTCTGTTTTGTGTTTTTTGCATAGTTAGATTTTTTTAACCCTTTCATTAAACCGCTTCAAACAGGGACATCCAGCGGGTGCTGAGGGAAGATAAGGAGAGGCTGAGGCAGATGCAGAAGAGCCAGCCTCACTTCACCTCAGAGCAGCGGAGAGAGCTGGTGGAGGAGCATCCCTGGATGAGGAGAGGAGGCCTCCCTGCAGCTATCAATGTGAAGGTTAGGATCACACACGGCTCCGCCCCCAATCTACCCACTGAACGAGATGCAGCGGTAACAGGCTGTGCGTCTCTTCCTTTAGGAGTGCATCTACTGTGAGGACGCCGCAGCGGCGGCCGGACCCATTGAGGAGGATCTACCCGACATGGATCTGGGCGAGCTGGGCGACGACCTGAGCAGAGAGGGCCAGAGAGGCCAGAGCCAATCAGAGGAGCCTAAAGCTCAGCAGGATCATGGCTCCTGAACGGGGGGGGGGGGAGCGATTCCAACATGGACCCATTTAGGCTCGCATTGACATTCTGGCTGTGCGGCTGAGAATCCGGACTGAAACACGCACCATGAGAAGAGCGCTGTGTTGCCATAGTGATCCAGGAGGAGGTGTGCCAGTGGCGTGTTTGTTTGTCTGTGTGTTCTGCCCACGTGCAGTTCCTGATATCCCCCACCGGGGGGTGGTAGAGCGTTGTAGCCTGAACCTACCTTTAGTATTTCTCCCATTTCACAAACAAAAAGGGTCTCTGAAATCTCTTGGCGCCTTTTTATGGAGCTGTTTTCCCTCTAATCAGATACAGGGCATTTATTCTCATACAGGTGAAGCTGAAGCTCTCTAAACTTTGTATTATATCTTAGTAATATATACATTTTTCTAGATATTATTTTTATAAAAAAAAGTGTTAAAAAAACTCTGTGAAGCGTCTCCAGTTTCCTGTTACACGTCCTGCTGGTGTTTGATTCCCTGCTGAAGCCTTTAAATCCCATCAACCCCCCCCCCCCATCAGGAATCATGTAAATTAAATTAGTCGACGGTTGTTGGATGTTTCATTAATAGATAATTTTTTTTTTATATTCTTGGACCTCAGTGTGTGAAGTATATGATAGAATATACGGGCCACACTGATACAAATATTTATAAAAGTTTATTATTTTTTTTTATCAGTTGTGAAAAATGCTCCTAATATTACAAGAACTAAGTCATAATATTGGGTCTTTAATATTAAATAATCAAATTATAAAAAAGGATAAACTTGAATTTTAGACTACAGGGATAAAACTGTAACATGAAGAGATTAAAGACACACTTTGAGTTCCGTAAATTCCAGACTATAGAGCGCACCTGATTACAAGCCGCATGCTCTAATTTTAGAAAGAAAATCAATTTTGTGCTTTTATAAGCCGCACCGGATTTTAAGCCGCAGGTTTCCCGCATTGTACGAGATATTTACAAATAAAGATGAGCATTTTTTTAACGTTTGATTTAATCCGTATCATAAAACAAACAAATACGGTACATATTATTAATCCTTTTTTTTCAAACTACCTGTAACACATTTAAATATACGTATGTGTCGCTAACACGCAGATAACGCTGCATATACCCGTACTTTTAATTGAACGACGCACAGAACATTGCAGCCGACCAGGAAAAGTCATTAATCACTTTCTTCTTCCTCCTGCGAACTAAAACCCTCAAAGTCCTCTTCCTCGGTGTCTGAATGGAACAGCTTCAGGATGCTGTCACTGACTTCAGTCGCTCTCACTTGGGCGCTCGCGGTCCTCTTCATCCCGCAGCAGCCCAAAAAACATGTATTAGCTGCACTGTATTATAGGCCGCAGCGGGAAAAAAGTAGCGGCTTATAGTCCAGAATTTACGGTAAATTAAACACCAATTATTAGGAGATCAAAGCGGTAAAAAATAGACGTATCCCAAAAAAACCAAACAAATGTGTACCAAGTTATCAAAGGTGTATATTTACACGAATGTCAACAACAAAATACAACATTATAACATTTTCTAAAAGTACTTTAAATCAGTTATATCTGTCTTTATCCATGCTGGCTCAGATCCTGACGTTTGAAAAAGGAGGCAGAGAAAGCAGAATAAAGCCTTAGCCTCGCTGCATGCTGTTAGCCTAGCCTTGTTGCTAACTAATTCTATAAACCTGTCAATCAGCTGCACTTTATGAGAGACGTCAGCGCTGTGGTGGGAGGTGGAGTGAAAATAAAGCTGCTTTCAGCTCTGCAGGAAAGCTGCTCCCTGGGACGAACATTTAACCAAAGTCTATGCGCGAAGATTTTTGCGCCAACGGCGGAAACGCGTCACCAATCCGACGACGAACAAAAATTTTTTACTCATCATTAAAGATTAAATACTGATCTTGCAGATCTAAAAAATATATTAATATATTGTGCAATATTTAAGTTTTATAATTGAAGTTTGTTTATGTCTTTATCAAGGTCATTGTGTGGGTGAGGCGGCGCCCTAGCGCCCTCTATTGGCCTGCCGCTACTGAATGTTATAATAATGCAAAAATAGCCTGCTTTAAAAAACTCAAACACTGATCTCAGGCTGCAGTCTGGTTGAGCTTGGCTCAATCAGAGTATTATTCGTATCAAAACGACTTTTTGTCTGAAAAAATAAAACCTTAACCCTGATATTAGTAAAACTTTATTTCCAAAGTATTCCTAGTAGTATATTATGACTTCATTCTTGTAATATTACGACTTAATTCTTCTCTCAGTTTGGCCTTAATGCTGCGTCACAAAGGTCTGAGTAAATATTGCAGTATTAGCACGACAATGTGGGAATTCACCTCAGTGGTGACAAAATCTATTTATTCAATCTATGTTGTTGTTATTTTCAGGTAGAAATCCAAAATAGACGTTTACGCTAAGGCCAAATGAGTTCTAGTTTAGGATGATAAACGAACACTTTGACTGTAAGCACTACAGAATGTTTAGCGTCACTTTGACACCGAGGTTCTCATCAAAGCCAGAGAAGCTGCCAAAAAATATATTAGCAGTAAAAAACAATAATATATATTTAAAAATTATGTTTTTAAATAAAAGTTTTATCAAAAGAGGCTCAGTTTACAATTTTTTGTGTAAAAATTGAGGTTATAAATGTGCATAATCTCAGCCTAGGGGAAATATTCCTAATGTTTTTATGGTGTTGAACAAACGGGTGGGAGCATCACAGCCACAGGGTGACTGACACCGCCCACTTTTAGCTTTATTTCCCCCCCTAATACAAAAACCTAAAAACGTAGCACTAGCTGAGTCGCTTTATTTTTGAATAAAGTTGGAATGAAAAGGCGCCAAGTCCTCGGCGTGCGTGCGTGTTTGTGTACGAATGTGTGCAGCGATGTAGCTGAGTACTGTGAAAAGCTGCGGCTCATTGTGGCGTTCGACGCCCATGATGGCGTCTTCAGCACGGTGGGGAAACATGAACAAGTGTAGCACCTTTTCTTTCCCCTCGTCGTTAAACGTGAAGTCATAGGAAACTGTACCGCGCAGCTGAGGCTGTTTAGGACCCCCGGGAACGACTGGTGCTGCCATTCAGAACAGCTGGGGTCTGTGAATGTAACACAGGCTGGACCAAGAGCATCTTTCTCGCTTTGTTTGTGTGCTTTCCTGTTTTTTTTTTACTCTATTTTTCTATTTCCCCTCCCATTAGTGTTTTATTTTGTTTTTGACGAAAGTGAAAGCTTTTGCAGCACCGTCAGGGGACGCACCCTACCTCTAAATAAATGCCGGGTTACTGTATGTGGATCATAGGATACGTGTGAACGAGGGAACAAAGCACTGAGTGATTCCTGAGACTGATGGCGTTTGGTCTGCTGCCTTCTTTCTGCCTGAAAGGCTCAACGGACAGAAAGTACATCTTTCCATTAATTTATTTCTGTTTAGCTCACTTCATAGGGGCCTCCAACACTAAGCTATTTGTGGAAGATGCAGGAACGTCAGAGACGTTATTAGAAGCTGGTTGATCAGCTGGGGCCATTTTGCTCTGTAAATGCACGCAGACACACGCGGTACCTGAACACCATGATGTTTTATAGTCATGTCAACGTTTTGTCTCATTTCCACTGTATGTGTTTGCCGTTTCTGGAACTAGCACACTTCTGTGCATTTTTATAGCTGAAAAAATGTTTGAAACTTGTAATAAAATGAAAGTAATATAACTACTGTGTTTTCCTTTTGGCTTCATAATGTTCCTCGTTCCTAAACCATGTAGAGAAAAACTTATTTCATTTACTTTGTTAAATCATCAGCATTATAAAAGAAACACTTTAACCTTTGACCCCAGTATTAGCTTAATTTTAGATCTATGGAACGATTTCTCAGGTAAATATTCAGCTTTGGGTCCGTATCATTTTTTTCATGCAAGCTTAACCATTTTAAGAGCAAATTCAAGCTAATAGTTTAATTGGAAT